TGCCATCATGGATGTTGAGAGCTTTGCAGAGTGTCTGGTGCAGTAGTGCCTGCCTGAGCCTGAGGTGTGTTCTTCCAGCCTTCACTCCCCTGCATTCCTTTGAACTTCCCTCTCCACAGCCACCTCAGCAAAGCACACTTCCTAGCTGGAGGAGAAAAGTGTACTGGGCCAAAACTCCTTTGAAGTACATTTTGAGTCATGTACATAATTTAGATTATATGTCCTAAAATGTACAGTCTGGAAGTGCTTTGCATTTTTAATCCAGGGGAAAACTTCACAGGTGTTATGATAATGCTGCTTAAAACCCAAGTTATTAATACTTTTTAGGTCCCTCTGTGTGATCACGCAGCGTAAGTATCTCTGCTGAGGACTAAAAGGGTCATAGCAGCTTTTCTTCCATGCATTAACATAGCATTTGAATCTATTTAGATTTTCAGAAACATAAGTCGTATCTTATGAATGATACAGCTAAGAGTATTGCTAAAGGTGTCAACCGAAGCTTGGTTGTTGGCAAAAGGATGTCTTGAGCTTTATCAATTCAAACACACTGCTCCTTAGTGCGTTTTCATTGGTCTGCTGAGACAATTACAGTTTATATGAAGATATAACCTAGCAGCAGGGCGACTGGAATGACGCCAGCAGTTTTTGGCTCATCTGTGAATATGGCTGATCTTTTTTGGACATGATCTTAAAAACCAAACAAACCCAAATTGTACACGTTGCCAAGGAATGAAGGGTTTTTGTTTTTTTCTTTTTGTACAATATACTTTTCTAAAAGACAGTAATGCATTGAAACAGAAGAATCTTAAATGACATAGCCACTTCAGAAAGGGCATCTTGTTCAGGGTATTTTAAGCAGTGTTTCCCAACAGAATAATTATAACCTGAGTATCTTAGATGCTTGCTGCACTTACTGCGAGGGTAGGGGAATCTTTACACTTAGCACACTTGGTATGAGAGATTGTAAGGGATAACTTTGAAAACAAACAGTACAAATCAGTATGTGACTTATGGGATTTGGTTCTTTCCTGTTAATTTTTTGCTGATGTAGGTTTACTGGAGATAGGGCAGTCACCCCTGGTTTACACTAGTGTAAATGTAATCATGCTCATGGTCATGCAAAAATGTAATCCGTAAGAGGAAAGCAAAATATTAGTTTATTTGTCTAGCAACTTATTCCGCTCAAACTGTGAGAATCTTTTTGTATCATTATCCCATTATCAGTGGCTAAATAAGGAATTGAAAAATTACAGAAGAGCTGGGTGGAGACCTAAGAAAGCAATTCAGCAGTCTGGAACTTCCTCTGCTAAGCAATTCTGGCACTAAACCCAAGCAAAATCAGAGTTATTCAGCCAAAATAAATCCATGCAATGACGATATCAGATGTGAGGTAACAGCAAGTCATGCTGAAGGATATCAGACATTCTTGAATAAACCGCAGGTCCTAGATATAATCCTTTGCCATTACGCTGCAGCCCTGCCAGCAAAGCAAACACAAATTTTGGAGTCACGGCAAGGCGAGTAAGAGCATAGAGAGTCTATGTGCTCAGGGTGGGAGCTGGCAAGCTGCTGAGCACCTTCAGCTCACACGTCCCCGATAGCCATAAAATATCCTTCATTCCCACACTCTGATCCCTGTGGAAGCAAACAGCTCTCTAGTATCATTTCCACAAGAAACAGCTGTAAGACTTGGGGAAGTCTTTCCTTTGCTGTCAGGATGTTACTGATCAAACTTTTCTACCACTAACCTGGCTGTTTAATTTCTCTATGTGTCCGTATGTCTGGGCATATTCTTGAAAGTGATTGGATTGCCTCAGCTTAAGAAGTTGCTGCCCATCCTGTGAGCAGTGTGACCAACCATGCGTACACTTACATTAGCAAACCTTACTTTTCAGTAAGACATTCAGAGGTGAAAGCAAGAGGTGATCACTTCTTTCTGCTTACCCCACCTCTACAACACTCAGACAGACTTCCCTGCAGCGCGAGTGAAACCCACACCAATTTTCCTGCCATGCCTTATGCTTTGTGGTGCTCCTGAAGGTGCCTTGCAGCCCGCCCTGTAGAGGAGATGGAGCAGGTACCTGGGGCAGTACCATCGGCGAGCCTAAGCCTTCAGTGTGTGCATACACTCGGCTATCCCTGGTTTAGCAGGCAGTAGGTTTCTATGTTGTGGTAGCACGACCTTACCTGATTGAATTCTTCCATCCTTAACCAGGTCCGCTGTAAAAAGGTGCTAGACCTTTGGCTCAGTGGGCTTTCTAAGATACCCTTTTGGAAAAGAGGTCTTGGAGCACTCTAAGTTACATTAATACATGCCATGCATGGGCATATTCCTTCCTTCCCGTTTTCCTTCTTGCTGGAGATGTGCACAGAGCTTGCTTTTCTTTTTTTGCACTAGGTGTTGCAGGAAGCCCCTCACAAAGCAAATCCCATTTGACTCATATGTATGGTATTTGGCTACTGTGCTTGAAAAACTCATACTCTGATTTATAAGCTAATGTGAAATGCTGAATTCTGGACCGGACTAAATGAGTTAGTGTGTATTGTAGTTTAGGACTATTAAACACTGAAATGCTGAGATGGAATTAAGTTAGTTCCACATAAAAAGCGGGATGCTTCATTGGAGGTAATAAAATCAGTGCAGAACAAATTTATTTAGAACATGATTGTTAAATTGCTTGGATAATTAAAACCTGTGATGGGTAAGATGACAGGTGGTAGGAAAAGGTTAAGTATTTAGCTCAGGTTTTTTCATAGTTTGATTCATTCTAGGGTAAATACTACTTGTGTGGGGTATGTAAACTTTATTTCTAAAATGTGTTCACCCAGTCAGTGAGTAGTGGTTATTTCATAAAGTTAAGAAAATAGAAAGCTAAACTTTTATGACATTTATATGGGCCAGCTTTAGACAGAAAGATGTAAGCACTGAGGAAAATATAAGCACTGTAGAAACTGTGTAATTTTGACCATACAAGGGGCTAGCTGCCTGGTTAATGTCTGGCGTTTATGTGGATTCCAGTTCTTTCAGATATCTATTTTTATCCTTCATTAAATTCTTCTTGGAGTGACACAACAGAAATCCCAAAGAAAATCACTAAGAATAGTTTTCCAAATATTCTCTCACTTTTCTTTATATAACATTATGCAAATCTCAAATTACTGTGCTTCATTTGGGATCAAGATGAAACAAAAAGCGGGATAAAGATTATCCCACCTCTGATGACAGCAAGGAGAGTAGGCTATATGTCCCCTATCAAGGTCTACTGCATAGATTTTCTATCATCAATGTTACACTTCCTTTGTTTCTATTTTTCCTGCTTATTGACTGAAAAAACAGACTGAATCCTCCCTAATTTTCATCCAAAAATGACATCGTGCAATGATGAGCTTAGCCGCGCTTGAAAGAGTGCATTTTACAGCGGAATAAAGGTGGGTTTAGCCCATGCAGGGAGTTGTGCACAGCCTGCCAGCAGCCAGCATCCACAGCTTTTGGTAGGGACATACCTTTAGGTAGATGCAGAGCTGAAAGCTGCAGCGCTGTGTAGCTAAGGAAGTGCAGACCTGCGTGTAGCCAGCTTGAATCCCAAAGAACAGAGCGTGCCCAAATTGATATGCCAGATGTGTGTCCCAGGTGCAGGGCTAAGAAACTTTATTTTTGTATGTTAAAGCTATTTTTCAGTCATTTGAAGGTTTGGTTTTTTTGGGTTTGTTTTCTTTTTCCCCCGTCACACACCAACAATCAGATTTCTACTTCTAAAAGTAGTGTGCCAGTTTCTGTGTTTATTCATATATATTCATAGATGTCTGGAGTTAGTTTTTCTGCAGAGGGCAGAATTTAGATCATCATTTCTAAAGCTGAAAGGCTGCTGCTGTATATGCTCAGTCTGCCACCTAGGCCTTTTTAATGGAAATATCAATCTGCAGTGATCTGGGACACATCCTGACACCTTTACTTATTTTACACTTAATTCTGCACATTATTCCATTGAATGACTTCATTAAATCACAGAATCACAGAATGATAGCAGTTGCAAGGGACCTCTGGAGATCGTCTGGTCCAACCCCCCTGCTAGAGCAGGATCACCCAGAGCAGGTTGCACAGGATTGCATCCAGGTGGGGTTTGATTATCTCCAGAGAAGGAAACTCCACAACCTCTCTGGGCAGCCTGTCCCAGTGCTCAGTCTCCCTCAGAGAGAAGAATCTTTTCCTCATGTTCAGATGGAACTTGCTGTGTTCCAGTTTGTGCCCGTTGCCCCTTGTCCTGCACTGGGCACCACTGAAAAGAGTCTGGCCCCATCCTCTAGACATCCACCCTTTAGATATTTATAAGCATGGATGAGATCCCCTCTCAGTCTTCTCTTCTCCAGGCTGAACAGACCCAGCTCTCTCAGCCTTTCCTCATACCAGAGATGCTCCAGTTCTTCTAATCATCTTTGTAGCCCACCGCTGGACTCTCCCCAGCGGTTCATTGTCTTTCCTGAACTGGGGAGCCCAAAACTAGACACAGAACTCCAGATGTGGCCTCACCAGGGCAGAGTAGAGGGGGAGGTGAGAGAAATGAGGTCAGAGAATAAATAATTTGAGTCTGAGAAGCTAGTCTGTAATTTGCCATTTAGTAGATGTGGACTAACGAGGGTTGTGGGCTATTTACTGCATTTCCTGGCATTCCACTTCATGTCTGTCTATGTAGGAAAGTGTGTTTCAGCACACTTAGGATCAGATTTTGCTTGCACTGAATTATGTCACTTTGTTTTGTTCACCTGACACAAGTTTACAGTAAGTGAGAAGTTAGATCAGAATATTTTTTCCCATTGAGATAATCTGTTAACAGAGTGGGAGGATATTATAAATTTAGCTTTGTTTAGCTCGTGCTTAACAGACTGAATCAAACAATTGACGTTCCTCTTCACCAAGGGTAATATTGTGTCTTCTTCTGTAAAATGGAATGTAAATATACTCCAGCACTGGGAATAATGTTTTTTGCTCCTCTTTTCTTCAGCAATATGAGAACTGGCGACCAAACCAGCCAGACAGCTTCTTTTCTGCTGGAGAAGACTGTGTTGTTATAATATGGCATGAGAATGGACAGTGGAATGATGTACCATGCAATTATCACCTTACCTACACCTGCAAGAAAGGAACAGGTACAAACTTAAGTAACAATAGTGTAATTCTCTAAATTCCAGTTTTATAAAGTTAAAATGACAAATTCTAGCTGGTTTCTGGTGACCAGTACAGTGAGCCCTCAAATGAATTAGCCTCACAGTCATCCTTCATCTATATCCTCATATTACGTCTCTACCTATCTGTTCTTGAGTCAGGCACAAAAGTATACACAGTTGAAACTCTTGGTTAAAACCAGGCAAATTTCTTAGGCACAGATCTCAGCAAAAGAGGCATTCATGTAACTGGCAGACCTGCTTTACTTGCATACCATGAAAACATTACCAACTCTTCTTTCCTGGGATGGCATCACTGTCAAGTATGTGGGCAGCAGAATATTGGCAGGCAGGCAGAGCAGGCAGCTGGCAGCTGGTATGTGATTAGCTTTTCAGCATCAGCTGAGCATACCTTTCACCCATCAAGTAATGCTGACCTTTGTCGTCTTCTTTTCCAAAATCATCTGGTTTAATGGCACTGCTGGAATCTGAAAAGCACGTTTGGTTTGTAGACTGTTAGAGCTGATACTTACAGGAAACCTGACTGTTACCAGGAGCCATACAGTGATGCTTTAGGAATTGCCTCTGCCTCTTCAGACTGGGAAAGTAAAGCAGCAGCCAAAATCTTGTGTGCGCTCCATTGTTCCCAACTACCATTTACAACTTTTTGTTAACATGTTCTCTGGGCCTTGGCGAATCCATCAGTTTTAAGTGCTTTTAAATAGTCTATTGTTGAGGAAGACATGATAAGTATTGAAAATGAGACATTTTTCTTAAATGCTTGTAATAACTTCATTGGTTTCCAGGTTTTGCAGATTTCCAGTGAAAAGCACTACTTTGTGTGAGTAAGCCAACCTTTTTGGCTCAAATTTACATCAGAAATTTAAACCAAAAAGACAATACTAACCATACTATCTGCTGTTTCCCAATTTTCGTCATTACTATATTTGGTCTACAAGACTGGAGAACCACAAAAGCCAGAAAAGGCTGATCTCCTTGTCCTTATTTGGATGTGTCTTTTGGAAGTCTAACTGAGGTCCCTTGACATCCTCCCTTAGCCAGGGTTTAGAGGTCAGCACCATAACCAGCAGTGCATTTACAAACTGATGTTTTGGGCTGTGTTCTCTCTTCCTTTCAGTTGCTTGCGGTCAGCCTCCTGTTGTGGAAAATGCAAAGACTTTTGGGAAGATGAAACCTCGTTATGAGATCAACTCCCTTATCAGATATCACTGCAAAGATGGTTTCATCCAGCGTCACATTCCAACCATCCGGTGCCAAGGGAATGGAAGATGGGATATGCCTAAAATTACTTGCATGAATCGTGAGTTCTTTGAAAGAAAACCAGTGCTGGACCAGAAACGATAGACTTATTTAACATTAATAAGTAAAGAACATATATTTTAAGAGAAGTGCAAAACTGGTAGACAAATTATAACACCAATACTGCTCACTCTATTGTAGGAATAAACATCAGGCCTTCAAAACTAATGAAAATGTTCCTCTTCTGTTTTTACAGAAACCACTAAGATTCTTTTAAAGTAAACAGCAACACTCTTACAAAGCCCCTGAAATCAAAATTTTCCTAACAACACTAACAGTTCTTTCTGCAACTGTGGTCTAACTGTGTGTAAGAGGTGTTTCTCCTGTCTGTAACATGGTCATGGTACCAGTTAATCATTTGTTAACCCTCTAAATAATCAGGAATAAATGGAACTGTAATGTGAAGTATAGCCAGACCATCCATAGTTACATAATTTTAAATTAATTTTGCTTTTTTCCTCCTTCTCATTGCAGCGTCCACATACCAAAGGACTTACTCTAAGAAATACTACTACAAACACTCTTCATCAGGAAAGGGAACATCGTTAAATTCGTCAAAACACTATCATCGCTGGATCAGGACGTGGCAAGACTCAAGGCGCTGAGAGCTAAATGGTGAATGGGGATTTCCACCATTTCAGCCAAAGTTATAACTTTCTGTGCCTTTTCTATCACTTGTAGGAGTATTATCAAATTGTTTTGAAACTATGGACTGCGGTATTCACAATGCATTTTGCAAAAATATGGTGTTTATCAGAAAATTTAAAAAAAAAAAGGAGAAGTGCTTATGGGGATAAAAGGAAACCATTTCCAGCCTATAAAGATTAGTTTTCTATATGCCATCAGTGTGGACCATTTTATGATATATACCAGCCTTCTGCAATATTTAAACAGCTCAATTCTAGCACCAATGAAAATGTAAATAAGATGATTTTAATGTTGTTTAATTGTGTGTTGTTTTTAAAATCCTGTATATAAAATGAAAAGTCACACTAATTTCAGGCATATTTATGGTTAGAACGGCCTCAGAGGTCTTCAGTCATTTATGACGATGTTTTTATGTTGTTTACCTAGGCTGGAAATGGTTGAAATAACTTCACTGACTGAAATTTGCTATTATCAGGTGAAGATAAACACACAAGTTACATGACTTTTTTTTTAAAAAAAAAAAAAAGGGAACTGTGCCAATTCCCATCCAAGGTACAGTTTGTGTCCACGTGATGCAAAGTTTAGACAGAGCACATAAAAGTGGCATGAAGCATGAACTAGGGACTGCATGTGGAACTTTTTTTCTGCTCTCCATTCCAGCTTCACCATTCATAATAAAAGAACTGCATGGAGGAGCTGTGTATGGCAGAGAGGGCCTGTAAAAATCCAAGTGCTAATACATTAACTTTATCAACCAGGGCCACTTTTTTGAAAAGAGAAAAAAAAAAACCTGAAAAAAAATTACTTTCACAACATTAACCACAAGGTCTATATTACAGGTCTCTGCATTCTAAAATGGAGATAGACCTGGTGTTTGGGGGATTTTTTTTTGTAAAAAACAAACAAAAATCAAAAAAGTAAATAATTTTGTATATATAACCATTTTTTAATCTTTTTATAAAGTAATGAATGTTTGTGTATGAATGCTGCAGCTGTGAAGCGTACATAAATAAATGAAGTAAGCCATACTGATTTAATTTATTGGATGTTATTTTACCCAAGCAAAGAAGATTGAAAGAGCTCACCAGTGCAGTATTAGCCCCTGAGCTCCACTTTTGGAACCATCTTTCAGTTCAACTGCTATTTCCCTGGAGAACAAAATTCCTGCTAAACAGGATCATTTGTTTGCAGTTAGATGGGTGAGAACTGTGTGACTTACAGAAAAATCAGAATCTTGGCTTTCTAGAAAGAAGTGTGTGCACAAAGAGATTGTAGGTTGTAGTTGGTGCAGTGTGTACGTAGGAGTTTTCTATTATGATTTCTTACCCTGGTCAGCTCGATGACTGACCTGGATCTGTACAGTAAGTGTAGAAGGTAACGTTTGAAACGACCTCTCCACAGAAAGGACTGTTATTTCTGCAAAAAGTGCCTTGCACACCTTTGGGCACAGGACAAAAAAACCCCCAACAAACCAACAAAAGAAAACCCCAACAAAAAAACAGTGAAAATAAAGACCAGTAAGTTCCCTATGATATACCTTCTAAAATAACATTACAAATACAAACACAAAAGAGAGGCTTATGCCTTTGTATTAGTGTGGGGATATGATGCGAAAAGTTGAAAGGGAAAAGAATTGAAACCCAGCCAACGTGTAAGAGTTTGTACTAGGAAGAGCTGTCCGTGAAGTGACCTTGACATAGCTCGTTGGGAACAGTAATTACAGTTCCAGACAACACCTCTTGAGAAATTGCAGTGGCTGCTCCATCGAATGTACCCAATCTTTGTGCATTCAACGTGGCAGTGCGTCACTGTGTTGGCCGGTTCATTCCCCACCCCTCGCCCCCAAACAATGCACATAATACTTTTCTCTATTTATATTATTATCTTGTATAGTGTAAAATGTGAATGTCTGGTTTTTTGTGAATGAAAGTCTAAAATCTTTGTAACTTTTATATCTGCTTCTGTTTCACCAAAGAAACAAGGTTTTGCTATACTGTGACTTGTCTTGTTATTGCATGTCTTCCTGTTTAAATCTATGCAATGTGATTTTTTTCATATGAATACAATTAGACTGTCAGGTACTTCACAATAATCATGGGCTTAGTCAAGTGCCCACTGGAGTCAAAGAGAGTCAGCTGGCTGAACTTTAGTAGGTGCTGGATTTGACTTTATATGAGCAGCTCTAGGGGATATTTTAAGATATACATTGTATGTTTTGAAGTCGATTATTGCTTGTATAAGTCAAGGTTCTGTTCATAAATATACAGTATTCTACACATCACTTCCTTGTACCAGAAACATACAGAACAGAAAATATATTTTAACACTTTGCAAACTTTCTCACCATATGTATAAAAAACCCTGCATAGATTTGTTGTTTTCTTGTCTACTTGTTGGATTTAAGCAATGTTGTAAGGCATTCAGATAACATTGTGATTGTAGTTTTAAATAGGTTAGATACAGTGCTTATATTGATTTTTTTCACCTCCTTCTATTACGCATAATAAATTAGGACTGACAACATTCCTTATTAAAAAAAAAAAAAAAAGAACAAAAAAGCCTGTTACCCACGCTTGTTTATTTAGACAGAGAATGGAACTTTATTCAGCTCTGGATACTTTTTCTAATACTGATCTAAACCCCAAATGTTCCAATACCAGCCCACTGTAAAATGCAGCCACTGATATCACAAAGTTAGGTCTGCTGTGAAGCTGGGGCATTATCACGAGTGCCATGATTCCCCTACGTGGAGCATCTCTGAACTCCAGGTTATAGAGAGGTAGAAGACAAAACTAGAGATTTAAATACAGATTTTCTGAATGAGTGTTTCTTAGCTCTGCTTTCTTGCCTTTCAAGTTAAACCAGAGTTCTTAACTTATTTTTCAAAGTTACCCTGTATCTGCTGCAGAGATAGCAGAGTCCACTTTAGATTGTGTTTTACAAGTTCAAGCAAGACAAATACTAGAGTGGTATTCCTGTAGTAATCTTCCCCTGTTGCATAAGTATTAAGCTTTTTGTCTCTACTAACACACTGTCTGCCATTTAAAAGGATACAGAAACAGCTGTAGACAAGAAGGTGGAAAGGTTAGGAGAGCGTGGGGGGCATTGATGATTAAAGTCATTAGCTTAGAGGAGTCCTGATGTGCATGGCACATCTGGGGTTACAGCAGCACGGGCAGCATCTGGTTCAGCCAGCGCTCAGGCTGCAGGTTTGTGCACAGAGCTCGAAATGCCACGAGAGAGCAACCGCGTTTTGTGCACCCCTGGCAATCTCTGCAGGGTAGCTGTTATTACCCTGAACACCTTCCTGCCCCTTCAGGTATTAAATTTGACTTCCTGCCATGAACCCTGGGGTGCAGGGTTAGCACCACGCAGGACAGAAGTAAGCCAGGCCACTTATTTCAGTAGAGCTTCTCAAATAGCAAGAGAAGATGCTGGTTAGTGGAAACACTCCTGTATTCCAGCTATGCCCTAAAAGATGCACAACTTCTTGAAGCTAGGGAGGAAGGGACAGCTCCCTGATGGCAGGTGTCCTTCAGAGACATTGGTTTCTGTGGGCTGTCTTGCCTGAGATGTCTCTGCCAAGCAGCGACTCATCAGAGGCTGGGGGTGGACAGGCCATGTTGGAGAACACACAAGCCCCTGGAAACGCAGCAGGTGGGCCAGCAAGATACAAGTGGCTGGCAAGGGGCTGCCGATGGAAGGGATAGCCCACAAAGAGGGCTCTGCAGTCAGAAATTGCTTTACCGGTGGCTGGAGGAACATTGTCTGAGGTTCAACCTACGGGTATGGTTATCGTCTGTGTAAGACTTCTTTCAAGCGAAAAGTCTTCATTTCCGTAGGCAGCATCTCTGCTCTGAGCACACACAGAAGCAAGCGCACGCAGGCAGAGACATTCCCTTGGCAATGGGAGGCTGGAGCTGCAACAGCTGGTGCAGGTTTGAGCTGTGAGCAGCTCAGCAGCACCGCGGCCTGGGGGGCCTGAGGAGGAAGGGAAGCAAGAGAAAGAGGAGCAGCAGCTACCCATGTCAATGCTATTCCGTAACTTCTGAAAACCTGGATCCTGCTAGGAGTATGAATTGTGGATATAATTAAATCCTCTGTGAAATTCTGCACATGTAGTAAGTTTGGGGGTTGTTTTGTTCTTTTTTTCCACAATGTAAATGCTGACTTTTTGCATTTGGAAGAGCTATGTTTTCGTCTGCTGAGGAGTCTTGCTGCTGTTGTGTCTCAAAAAAAAAAAACCCAGATGGTTCCTCCTCAGCCTGAGCACGGCTGCTGAAGGCACTGCTGAAGGCAGTGGCTGCAAAGGTGCCTCCTAGAGCTTCTGAGCAGATCTGTGAACTTCAATGGCATCTCTAGGCAGAGGGGTATGAATTGATCCTGGTGTGAAATGGCACTATTTCTTAGGGTGGTCATGTTCTTTGCTCAGTTAAAAGGATTGCAACATGCTGTCCTGTCCCCCAGAGGTAAAAGATGACTCAAGCTGTCTGTAGGCTTCATCTCTCCGGGTAGAAAACTGCTCCTTTAGCAGGAAATGTTTCAGGTGTTGTATACCAAGAATGACTGGAAAAATCTCTGGCCTCAGTGCAACTGTGTTTACTACAAAAAGGGAAATGCATTCTTTTTTTCAGAGAAAACATACACCTTGTGTTACTGATTGTAAGCAGTAACGTCTGTAGGACTCTGTGAGCACACTCTTTTTCCTGACAAACAATGAAAGGGATAAAATTATATTTGGACAGAAGCTTACCGGGCATACAAAGTTGTTAGTGTGGTGAAGACAAGAAGTATAGTAATTGTAAGGACACCCAGAAAAAGGTGTATCATTTGAACACTCCAGCAGTAGACATGGAAGGAAACTTAAGAACCTCTAAAGTGCAATTTGATGGCAAATTTTGTTTTTCACAGCAAATAAATATTTTCAAGTGGAGAAGCCATCAGCTGTTACTGCTATAGAGGCTAAGTTACTGTGCAGATAAAAAAGAACAACTGGACCTTGAGATGTATTAGCGAGGAATTTATTTCAAGGGTGGGAATGGATTCATGATACTACCAAAATGCCTCCAGATTTCCAGTTGCAATAGCCAGGCGAAATGAATTCAATCTGGAAATGATCCAGCAGCCTGCTTCTGGGATGGCTGGAAAAATGGAGAAGCTAAAAGGAAGGCAAACCCTGGTGGTGGTGGTCCTACCTGGACACAGCAGTCTGAAGGAACAATTACATGGCTTCTGGTTTTAAGCTCTAGCAGTTGAGTCGTGTAGTGGTGAGAAGTCCTGTGAGAGTAAAAGTCCTTATCACTATAAGACAGGAGGTAATCAGTTTGGCAGAGGGAATAAATGGTGTGGTTGTCTTCAGTAGCAGGAGAATGGCAGGAATTTTAGTCTTGTGTTTGTATGGTGTTTGGGGTAGTAATTATACACAACATTCCTACGTGGTGGGGAAAAAAAGTAACGGAGAGGCTTGGCAGAGGTCATACACAAACATCTGCAGCAGACCCGGGCAATGAAGCTGTGTTTGCTAAGGGCCCTGTTCCTTCACGTTTGTGTGGGGTTTTTTTGTTGTTGTTTGGTTGGTTTTTTTTAAAAAAAAGTGAATTTTCGAAGCGGGTGGTGGAAGTTTTGATTCCAAAGGCAGTAGGATCCCCAGCTGATCTCTTTAGAGTTAAAACTAACCTTGGGCTCACCCATGTACCACATCTTTGTCAATATACTTTTTAATAAGCTTAGAAAAGGGGACAAAAGCAGCAGATGTCGCTGATGGTGCTATTTCCTTGCTGAATGAAGGATCCCTTTGATGGTGAAAGCCATACCCATCCTTCCACTGCAGCTTGTGCATCTCAAACCACAGCAGCTTGTAGATATGCGCAAATCCCGACCGAGGACAGTATACGGCAGGGTAGCAGGCCCGGTGACTGCTCCCGGTAGACTTTCCATGTTGA